CCAGGAATTGACATGTTACAAAAACAGATTCAGTTCTAACTAGGCTGTGCTAAGAAATCTAGAAGATAGCTACCTGGCCTTTTGACTCGAAAGGATCTATTATTTGTTCACATTTCTAAAATAGGTAATCCAGCAGAATGTAGAAATTATTGAACAGTATCATTAATAGTGCATCACGTAAAATCTTGCTGAAAATTATTAAGAAAATGATAGTATATCAAAAGAGAACTCGGCAGGTATTCAAGCTGGATTCAGATGAGGTGGTGGAACCAGGGATATCATTGTTGATGTCAGATGGATCTTCACTAAAATCAGAGAATACGAGAAGGATTCCTGTCAGTGTTTTATTAACTATGGAAAGGTATTTGGCTGTGTATATCATAACAAATTATGGCTGATATTGAGAGGAATGGGAGTCCCAGAACACTTAATTGTACTCATGCAAAACCTAACCTAGACTGAGAAGCAGTTGTCTGGACAGAATAAGAGAACATGATATTGTTTAACATCAAGGAAAGTGTGTGTCAAGGTTGTGTCCTTTCTCCATCCCTATTCAGTCTGTATGCTGAGAATATAACTTGAAATATGAAGAAGAATGTGGCATCACGATTAGAAGAAGACATATCAACAACCTGTGTTATAAAAAATGACACAAGTTTGCTTGTTGAAAGTGAAGAGAACTTGAAACACTTGCTGCTGAAGCTCAATGACTATTCTTCAATATGGATTACATCTCATCATGAAAAAGGCAAAAATCCTCCCAACCAGGACAATAGGCAATATCATGATTGTTGTTGTTATCAGGTGCCACTGAGTCTAGTGTGACTCATAGCGAGACTGTGACCAATAGATCTGAACCTTGTTCTGTCCCGGGCCATGCCATCCTCATCATCTCTCACATACTTGAGCCTATTGCAGCAGTCACTGTATGATTCCATCTGGTTGAGGGTCTTTCTCTCTTTCTCTGACCCTCTACCTTTCCAAGCATGATGTCCCTCTCAAAGCAACATCACTCCTAACGACATGGCCAAAATATCAGAGGTGAAGCTTAGTCATCTTTGCCACCAAGGAGTGTTCTGGCTGCACTTTCTCCAAAACTTATCTCTTTGTTTTTTTGCGCTCCAGGAGATACTCAGTATTCTCTAACACCACAACTCAAAGGCATCAATTCTGTCATTCTTATTCATTATCCAGCTTTCAACTGCATAGGAAGTGATTAGAAAGACCATGACTTGTAATAAGATGCACGTTAATCTTCAGACAGTGTTGCTCCTCAATAATTTGGAGAGGTCCCTGATGACAGACTTTTCCGATGCAATACGTCTCCTGACTGTTGGTCCCAAGTGTGTTGATTGTAGATCCAAGTAAGGTTAATTAGTTGACAGTTTAAATCTTTTCTCCATCAGTTGTGCTGAAAATATCATAGCTGATGTCAGATGAATCTTGACTAAAAGCAGAGAGGAGCGGAAGGATGTCTATTGGTGTTTTATTGACTATGCAAAGGCATTTGACTATGTGGATCATAACAAATTATGACTACCATTGAGAAGATTAGGAAGCTCAGAACACTTTATTATCATGATAGTGCAAAGATTGAAGTTGCCAATGATTTCCTTGTACTTGGATCCACAATGAACATTCATAGCAGCAGCTAAGAAGTCAAAAGATGTGATGCATTGGAAAATCAGATGTCAAGGACCTGTCCAAAGTGCTAAAGAGCAACTATGTCAGTTTGAAGACAGAGGTAGTCCTGATCCAAGGCAAAGTATTTTACATTACTTCCTATGTGTCTTAAAGTTGGACAGTCACTACAAATGACAGAAGAATTGATGCCTTTGAATTGTGTTAGAGATGAGGACGGAACAGCCCATGTAATGTCAAAAGAATAAACAAGTCTCAGAGTAAGTGCAACCAGGGTTCTTGGAGGCAGGGATGGTGAATGTTTGTTTCACTTACTTTGGGCTTATTGTCAGAAGGGTTAGCCCTTGAGAGAAGACTTCATGCTGGGAAAAGTATATGGTCAGAAAAAAAGAGGAAGATCTTCAAAAGGCTTAGATTTATGCACAGACTATAATATGGCTTTGAGCATTCAGAGATGTTAATGATAGTGCAGGATAGGGCGGGGTTCCAATCTGTTGTTTTGTCACTTTGGGTTATAGTTGACCCAGTGGCATCTAACAACCACAACTTTATTAAGAATAGGCAGGGTTTTTTTTTGCAAACCTTAAAACGTTCAGCTGGCCAAAATGTTATAATTTTGTTTTTTTAAGTGCTATTCAGTGGACTGTGACTCCTGACGACCCTAGAAACAATAGATCTGAGTCCTGTCCTGTGCCGCCCTGTGTTTCATCACTCTGTTAGAGTCACTGTCAGTCCATCTCAACGAGGGTCTTTCCCTCCTTTGCTGACCATCTGCCCTTCCAGGCATAGTTGTACTATAACAGTTACAATAAAAAGAGAGAGTCACTTTGGAGGCTGCTTAAGTACCACCAGTATCTTCATGGGATTGGTTTTGGATGTTTAGAGTCATGATTGATTTGAAATAAAATTTTAATTGAATATGTTAAGTATTTTATTTCTAATATGAAATTAATCTTTTAAATAGCTATTTTTCCTTATTCACTTTTAATAGTTTAAGCCAGTAAGTTAATTGAATGGAAATGAATACAATGTAATTTTAATTTGTATAATTTTCAAACAGTTTTCTTCCTTATCTGTTTCAATGCAGTATACATTATTTATCCCATCTTTTTCAGTCTCCCCACAACCCCGATGTCAGTGCTGTTTTACAACAGTGGCACCATACAGTATTTGTCCTTTTGTGACTGAGATACTTCACTCAGCATAATGTCCAGGGTCACCCATTTTGAATAATATTGCACGAGTTCCTTGTTTTTCAATGCAGCGTAGTACCCCATCGTGTGAATATACCACAGCTTCTCTATCCATTTGTTTGTTGATGGGCACTTAGTTTGTTTCCAACTCCTTGCTATTGTGAACAAAGTTGCGATAAACATGGGTGTGCACTTATCTGCTTGGGTGTCAATTATGGTCTCTTTGGGGTATATTCCCCTAGTGGAATTGCTGGGTCAAATGGTATCTCTATTTGCAACTTTTTGAGAAAGTGCCACACTGCCTTCCACAGTGGTTGCACCACTTTACACTTCCACCAACAGTGAATAAGGGTTCCAGTTTCTCCACAATCTCACCAGCATTTTTTGCTTGCTGTTCTGTTAAATTTTGCAGTATAGTTGTTTTGAAGAGAATTGAAATACTTCTCAAAGTTTTATGTACAGAATTATGGAACACATACACACATATACAGTTCACTAATTTTAATTATGACAATATTTAAAAAAATTAATTGGAAGTCTATTATTTTTTTGGATCTTAGATTAGGGTTTACCCTTCTGAGAAAAAATCTCAACAAAACAAATTTTTTAAATTCTGATTCATTTACAAAGTTTTAATACATTGTTTTTCGCAAGCCATCCTTCCCATTTTCTTCACTCCACTCAGCCATCAAATTCTGCAACTCTATGATTAACACCTTATCCCGCATCCTCACCCCTCTATTTCCACCTCCCCAGCCTCCCGTGGATCCTCATACTCATTCTACAATTATGATTTTATACGGTATTTGTTCTTGTGAGACTGCTCTCCAGTCCTTCCCAAATTCGGTAGTAATTTACAAAATGATTGCTCCTGTGGGCTGCATAGTATTCCATTGTGTGAATGTACCATAACTTCTCAATCCATTTGTTTGTGGTTGGACATCTGGACTGTTTCCATGTTCTTGAGATGGTGAATAATGTTGCTATGAACATTGGTATACAAGCTTCTGTTTGTGCCTCAGTTCTTATTTTCTTGGGGTATCCAAGCAATGGAATAGCTGGGTCATATGGAATTTCTATGTTTATCTTTTTGAGGAAGCGCCAGACTGCCTTCTAGAGTGGTTGTACAATCCTACTAACAATGTAAAACAGTTCTTACCTCACCGCAACCTCTCCAACATTTATTACTTGCTGTCCTGTTATACTCTGCCATTGCTATTGGAGTGAGATGGTATCTAATTGTGTTTTTGATTTGTATCTCTTATTGCCAGTGATTTGGAACATTTTTTCATATGTCTGTTGGCCATTTGAATATCTTCCTCTGTGAAAATTCTGTCTTTTGCCCATTTTGTAATTGGATTATCAGTCTTTTTTCTTATGGAGGCCCAGGAGTATTCTATAAACTTTCATTATGAGACTCTTTTCTGATATGGTATTGCCAAATGTTTATTTCCAGTCAGTAGGTTTTCTTTTCACCCTGTTGGAAAAAGTTTTTGATGAACACAGGGATTTAATCTTTAGAAGGTCCTATTCATCAATTTAATCCTCTTCAGGTTGTACATTTCTTGCTGTCTCTTTTTACTGTAGACTAAGGCTTCTAAGCTTGATCCCAGTTTGTCTCTTACGAACTTTATGGTTTTGGGCTTTACTCCCAAGTCTCTTATTCACCTTGAGGTGATTTTTGTATGTGGTATGAGATGTGGATCCTGTTTCAGCTTCCTAAAGGTAGCAATCCAGTTTTGCTAGCACCATTTGTTGAGGATAGGTTTGATTTCCTTGTCAAATATCAGTTGACCATAGTTCTTTTTCTGGGTTCTCAGTTCTGTTCCACTGATCTATGTGCCTGTCATTGTACCTGTACCATGCTCTTTTGGTTACTACTGCTGTGTAGTAGGTTTCGAAGTCAGGGAGTGCTATACCTCCCACTTCATTTTTGCTTCTCAGAAGTGTCAACAAAACAATTTTTAAAGCCACAGTGAATGTATACTGAAACTGCTATTGCTGATATTTTTAAAATGTGCTAATTTTTCTGTGTAATATTGGAAGTTTGAAGTGTTGTTACTATCACTAATTTTGTATATCTTTTAAATTTAAATCTATAGTAATCAGCTATAATATTTAAAATATAGTAATTGAACGGCATTTCTGTGTTTTCTTTATCTTCAGCTGGGCTGATGCTCAAACTCAAATCCAGAACATTGCTGCGTCTTTTGACCAGGAGGCAGCTGCTATTCTTATGGCCCGCCTGGCAATATACAGAGCAGAAACAGAGGAAGGACCAGATGTCCTCAGATGGCTAGATAGACAACTTATTCGACTGGTAAGAAGTAAAAATTGTTCTTTCCCAAATACTATCAGATATTCTGAATCTTTTCAAGTGTATCTGATCTAGGTCACTATCCAGGGGGATCTTTCTGCCTTGATGAAAAGATTCTATAATCTCTACTATCTTACGGTAGCTACTGTCTACCTGGCTTACAGTAGGGCTAGTGCAATAGAGGAACTAAATTTTTAATTGAACTAAAATGAATTTAGATTGTCACAAGTGGCTAGCAGCTATCACATTAGACAGCAAAGGTTATTACCTTAATCTAGTCTCTATAGGGAGCCCTGGTTGCCTAGTGGCAAGAAGCAATGTTACAAGCCCAAAGCCACGTGTTTCGAGAGCATGAGCTGCCCTGTGGGAGAATGATGGGCAGTCTCCTCCCGTGTGATTAACAGCCTCTGAAAACCCACTGGAGGGTGAGCTATGGGTCGCTTCTAACTCTGTGGTATGCAGCAACAACAGTCTATATATGTTACCAGTGAAATAATACAAGAATGAATGATGACAGCATTCCCTCTTTCCTGAGTATTAATTAAACAACCCTCTAGTTTTAGTCTTTGGATGACTGTAGTTTTGAAATGATTTTTCATGGAAGCCAAAAGTGTGATTATAAGATGAAGATAAATACATAAATGATACCATTGAACGTTTCTGTAAGCAGAAATCTCATATCTCTTGTGACAGTGAATCTTTTATTATTTTTACTTCTTTTTAGTCTTTGAGTTTTAAAAACACGTGCCTTTGATTTATATAGAATTACTATGTCATATATAATTACTTTGCCAATATAACTATTGGCAGGAAATAGACCCATTACTTAAGTGCTATAAATACTTCAGGGTAGAGACATTGCTCAAAAACAGTGACAAGAAATTAACTTTATTGAATGTATATGAACTCTCTTTGTCCTAGGCACTTTGTCACATGAATGAGTTAATTTCATTCTCTAGAACATGCCTTCTGTCATGTTTTCCCAAAAGTTTTCCTTGCCTATTGTTAAGTGTATATATCTCCCTTAAATCCTTCTCATTTATGCCTTTGTGTTGCTTCTTCTCTATTAGATTGCCTGTTTGTATGTCTTGTCTTTTCTTGCTTTGCTTTCCTTTAACTCTTCCTTCTTTTGGGTATTGTTTCTGGTTTACCGAATTTTGTTCCAGCAACTTGCTTTTGCAGCCATTGTGATCTTTTGAAAGGACATCTTTCTATCAGTTGGTAATTGTCTTTTTTAGGTAGAATCTTAAATGGCATATATTGAATTCTTTTGTTGATTATCTAAGAGCTCTTTATTTCCTATCAGACAGAGTTAAAAAAAATTGAAGCGTTTTGAAATAAGATGTTACTGCATTGGGACAAAGAATTATTTCTAAAATGCAAATGTATTTTTTTTGTTGTTCTTGTGTACCATTGAATTGGATCCAACAGGCACAAGAGGAGATTGCCCCTCCTTTTCCAGCGGAGCATCTGGTGGATTTGGCAAATGTTATTTTTTTCATTGTAATTAGTCTCTTGTTAAGTTTATAAGAAATTCCAGATTTTGTCCTGGATGAAAGATTTACTTCCTAATGAGTAGTAACTGTAAATAGAATTCATATGGTAAGTTTTAACTCTTAAGCCAAGAAATTTGTTACTGATATATGTTGTGTTTTATGTAGTGTCAGAAATTTGGAGAGTATCACAAAGATGATCCAAGTTCCTTCAGATTTTCAGAAACATTCTCCCTTTATCCACAGGTGAGTAGATAAAAAAAGTCCACATTCTTTTTAAAATTTTTTTGTGTGATTTGAGTGAAAACTTACCAGTAAGTTTCCATTCAGCAATTCATACTTATTGTATTTTGTGGCATTGATTATAGGTCCCACCCTGTAACAGCACTTTCCCCACTTCATACTTATGTGCCTTATTTTCATCTGTCCTTTTAAAACATCCTTTTCCTGATTTATAAACTTTACCCCTGGGCAAATGCTTTCATTTTTATTTTAATTTTGGTTGCTTGATCAGAGGAGAATGTTTCTCTCTAGTGTTATTGATTGTTAGGCTGGAACTTGAGCCATGGAAATGATTTTACTTTCAGGCTTCAAGAGTAACTAAGGCTCGTCGTGTTACCAATAGCATTTAAGTTCATGGTTGTCTTTTATTACTTAGCTTATATGACGTACTGTATTAGGTTATTCTTGTGGTTAGGTGAATTTTCCAAGAGTTAATAAATTAATATTGTGCTGTGAGTATTCAGTGAAAAATATATAGTATTTAATAATGGTCATTTATTTATGATGGATATAAATTTATACTGGCATCTATTATGGAATAGAGTTGGCTGTAAAGCAGATAAAAATATATTGTTTTATCATTCATTCACTTTGTTTCATACCATTAACTACAATTGATTAATTAATTACAATGTCTAATCACCACCTTACTGTATGTTGCCTTTCCCTTCACTTTACCTGTCTATTAATTTTTACTCTTTCCCTTCCCATCGTTGGTGACTGTCTAAGAAGGATTGATACTGTCTGTGTGTAAGCCTTTCCGTGGCTTTTTGTAAGAGTTGTCTTATTCCATAACTGCCTGTTTATGACTAACTTAAGTCACTTACTGTAATTTCTTCTAGATTTTTCATGTTGTGCAGTGTTTCATGAACTCTTTATAATTTTTTTTAAGTGATACATGATAATAAACTGTGTAAATGTACTATAGCTCCTTTAGTCATTCATCCTTTGATGGACACTTGAATTGTTTCCAACTCTTTGCTATTATAAATAATACTGCAGTAAATATAGAAGGTTATGTCAATTTGTGTTGCTGTTCTTATGGCTTTGGGATATATACCTATTAGTGGATTGATGGGTCCATAGGATTTTTAGTCCAGCTTTCTAAGCAAGTTCCAGATTGCTTAGCAAGTTACCCCATTTTACATTCTCACCTGCAGTGTGTGAGAATTCCATTCTTTTCCTCCCCAGCATTTGTTGTTTGCTTGCTATTGTTCAAGACAGATTAGTTTTCTATCTGAAGTAAGGAGGTCTTATTACAGTAGTATCAAAAAGGACTTTGAGGTAATTTTTAACGGTTTACCGGCTAATGTTATGGCCTGGTTTCATCACTTGCATGACATACTAGAATAGTATGATATTAATGAATAGAAGTTAACTAATATTAACTAATAGAAGTTAGTTTGATTCACCTTACACCACTTTTTTTTTTGTAGGAGTAACATTTATTTCTGAATCTTACTTGATAGCTATTTTTAAATGTTTAGATTGTTAAATTATATAATTACATATCTAATTATAGAATGCTGTTGTTACAAATAATGTTCTTTTTTTTTAGGTTCTTTTTTTGAGGAGTTTTTTTTTTAAGAATAGAGTGCTCTGATTAGAACGTAACATTTTGTTGTATTAATGATTGTAATCAAGTGCTCTTTGTAATGATAAATTCCTGTTGTAATATTTAAATTGATAAAGGATCTCTCTCAATATTTTATCTTCTAGTTTATGTTTCATTTAAGAAGATCGCCTTTCTTGCAAGTATTTAACAATAGTCCAGATGAGAGTTCTTATTACCGTCACCATTTTATGCGTCAAGATTTGACTCAATCTCTAATCATGATTCAGCCCATTCTCTATGCATATTCTTTTAGTGGACCACCAGAGGTAAGAGGGAAAAAGGAAAAAAAAAGAAGACATTTTTTTATTTTTATTTTTTTT